GGATAAATTTTCAGTGAAACGTTTCAGCTTTCTATCTATAATAGAAAAAAAAGTTATGACCTTTCAAAGTTTCCAAAATCTAAATCATAAGGTAGCTACCTTCTTACTAAAACGATGAAATTTCAAATTTTTTTTTGTCGAGATTTTATATCCTGATGGTCAATCCACATCCCCCAAACTCCATACACTAAATATTCTCAGATTTGAATCCGAAATCTATGAAAAAAGGCACTCAGAAAAATTGAAAAATTGATAAATCACCCCAAATTGCTTAGCACGATTCTATCTCAGGAACTATACGTGCAAATGAGCTGTAATTTTCAGGGATTGTAGTCCCTTGATTGGATAAATTTCAGTGAAAGTTTCAGCTTTCTATCTATAATAGAAAAAAAGTTATGACCTTTCAAAGTTTTCCAAAATCTAAATCATAAAGGTAGCTACCTTCTTACTAAAACGATGAAATTTCAAATTTTTTTTTTTCAAGATTTTGTAATCCTGATGGTCAATCCACATCCCCCCAAACTCCATACACTAAATTATTCTCAGATTTGAATCCGAAATCTATGAAAAAAGGCACTCAGAAAAATTGAAAAATTGATAAATCACCCCAAATTGCTTAGCACGATTCTATCTCAGGAACTATACGTGCAAATGAGCTGTAATTTTCAGGGATTGTAGTCCCTTGATTGGGATAAATTTCAGTGAAAGTTTCAGCTTTCTATCTATAATAGAAAAAAAGTTATGACCTTTCAAAGTTTTCCAAAATCTAAATCATAAGGTAGCTACCTTCTTACTAAAACGATGAAATTTCAAATTTTTTTTTGTCGAGATTTTATATCCTGATGGTCAATCCACATCCCCCAAACCTCCATACACTAAATTATTCTCAGATTTGAATCCGAAATCTATGAAAAAAAGGCACTCAGAAAAATTGAAAAATTGATAAATCACCCCAAATTGCTTAGCACGATTCTATCTCAGGAACTATACGTGCAAATGAGCTGTAATTTTCAGGATTGTAGTCCCTTGATTGGGATAAATTTCAGTGAAAGTTTCAGCTTTCTATCTATAATAGAAAAAAAGTTATGACCTTTCAAAGTTTTCCAAAATCTAAATCATATGGTAGCTACCTTCTTACTAAAACGATGAAATTTCAAATTTTTTTTTTTCAAGATTTTGTATCCTGATGGTCAATCCACATCCCCCAAACTCCATACACTAAATTATTCTCAGATTTGAATCCGAAATCTATGAAAAAAGGCACTCAGAAAAATTGAAAAATTGATAAATCACCCCAAATTGCTTAGCACGATTCTATCTCAGGAACTATACGTGCAAATGAGCTGTAATTTTCAGGGATTGTAGTCCCTTGATTGGGATAAATTTCAGTGAAAGTTTCAGCTTTCTATCTATAATAGAAAAAAAGTTATGACCTTTCAAAGTTTTCCAAAATCTAAATCATAAGGTAGCTACCTTCTTACTAAAACGATGAAATTTCAAATTTTTTTTTTGTCAAGATTTTGTATCCTGATGGTCAATCCACATCCCCCAAACTCCATACACTAAATTATTCCTCAGATTTGAATCCGAAATCTATGAAAAAAGGCACTCAGAAAAATTGAAAAATTGATAAATCACCCCAAATTGCTTAGCACGATTCTATCTCAGGAACTATACGTGCAAATGAGCTGTAATTTTCAGGGATTGTAGTCCCTTGATTGGGATAAATTTCAGTGAAAGTTTCAGCTTTCTATCTATAATAGAAAAAAAGTTATGACCTTTCAAAGTTTTCCAAAATCTAAATCATAAGGTAGCTACCTTCTTACTAAAACGATGAAATTTCAAATTTTTTTTTTTCAAGATTTTGTATCCTGATGGTCAATCCACATCCCCCAAACTCCATACACTAAATTATTCTCAGATTTGAATCCGAAATCTATGAAAAAAGGCACTCAGAAAAATTGAAAAATTGATAAATCACCCCAAATTGCTTAGCACGATTCTATCTCAGGAACTATACGTGCAAATGAGCTGTAATTTTCAGGGATTGTAGTCCCTTGATTGGGATAAATTTCAGTGAAAGTTTCAGCTTTCTATCTATAATAGAAAAAAAGTTATGACCTTTCAAAGTTTTTCCAAAATCTAAATCATAAGGTAGCTACCTTCTTACTAAAACGATGAAATTTCAAATTTTTTTTTGTCAAGATTTTGTATCCTGATGGTCAATCCACGATCCCCCAAACTCCATACACTAAATTATTCTCAGATTTGAATCCGAAATCTATGAAAAAAGGCACTCAGAAAAATTGAAAAAATTGATAAATCACCCCAAATTGCTTAGCACGATTCTATCTCAGGAACTATACGTGCAAATGAGCTGTAATTTTCAGGGATTGTAGTCCCTTGATTGGGATAAATTTCAGTGAAAGTTTCAGCTTTCTATCTATAATAGAAAAAAAGTTATGACCTTTCAAAGTTTTCCAAAATCTAAATCATAAGGTAGCTACCTTCTTACTAAAACGATGAAATTTCAAATTTTTTTTTTTTCAAGATTTTGTATCCTGATGGTCAATCCACATCCCCCAAACTCCATACACTAAATTATTCTCAGATTTTGAATCCGAAATCTATGAAAAAAGGCACTCAGAAAAATTGAAAAATTGATAAATCACCCCAAATTGCTTAGCACGATTCTATCTCAGGAACTATACGTGCAAATGAGCTGTAATTTTCAGGGATTGTAGTCCCTTGATTGGGATAAATTTCAGTGAAAGTTTCAGCTTTCTATCTATAATAGAAAAAAAGTTATGACCTTTCAAAGTTTTCCAAAATCTAAATCATAAGGTAGCTACCTTCTTACTAAAACGATGAAATTTCAAATTTTTTTTTTTCAAGATTTTGTATCCTGATGGTCAATCCACATCCCCCAAACTCCATACACTAAATTATTCTCAGATTTGAATCCGAAATCTATGAAAAAAGGCACTCAGAAAAATTGAAAAATTGATAAATCACCCCAAATTGCTTAGCACGATTCTATCTCAGGAACTATACGTGCAAATGAGCTGTAATTTTCAGGGATTGTAGGTCCCTTGATTGGG